ACTGACTAAAAGGAATAAGGCAAGTAGCTGGCAACTGCGTACATCTTTCTGCATTCTGACCACGGACACAACATGGCCAGCTTAGCACCTCCAGCACACCTTCACCAGCATGACGGTTCCTTCAAACTATAGGCCAAATAAACCTTTGCTTAAGTTGCTTTTGTCACAATAATGAGAAAAGTAACTAATACGGAAAACTGGTATTGAGGAATAGGCCATTGCTGTTGTATAGGCCTGTTGTATAGAGAATGCCTGGAATGCTATAAGCAAAAATTACTAGTCCATTCTGGTGAGCATTTGAAAAGACCAGAATGTCAGTGGAAATGTGGACACTGAAGGCTAGGCTCATGAAGTTTCAGAGAGGAACCAGGATTCTATTGGGAACTGGGCTAGAGACCACTTGTGTTACCTTCTAGCAAACAATCTGGCCATGCCCTTAAAATCAGAGTGAAGCCAAACATAAAAGTAATGGATTAAGTTGTCTGGTAGAGGAAATTTCAAGACAGCATGGCATCCAGGCTGTGGCACAGTCACTGCTAACTTCTCTTAGATGGTGAGAAGCAGCATAAAGATGAAGAACATGAATGAGTTTAAAGCTACAGGCCAGGAAGATGCATACAAAACATCTGTAACTGATAGGAAATCTCACGCTTTGTACTAAGACAGTAAGAAAAGCATCCTTAGGGCAAGACTCACTCCTAGAAAGGTCTAACTGGTAAAAAAACAAACAAACAAAAAAAAACAAACAAACAAAAAAAAAAAAACGCCAACTCCAGATGGCAAGATGGCTCAGCAGGTAAAAGCAAGTCTGGCAACCAGAGTTCAGTCCCCCAGAACCCACATGAAGAGGCAAAGAGAAATAATTCTACAAAGTTATACGTATCTATACATACATACATGCACAAATATACACTCTCCCACAAATAATAGTGTTTTGTTTTTTTAAGAAAATGAAAACTTATTTCAAAGAAAAAGCTTGAACTGAGAATGCCATCAAATGAAAACAACCACTTAGAGAAGTATTTTCCCAAGACATAGAAGGTCACTGCAGCCATAGTAGAAGGGGCCATCTATCTCAAGCTGGTAGCAGAACTTGGCACTGTCCTCGGGATGGTTTATAGGCATGCAAAATATAAGTGAGGGCAGGGCTGAAGTCCTTGCAAATAGTCTGAGAGGCCACTGAATGACGCTGGAAAGGGAAAGCCTAAGTTGCAACGGAGACCTCAAGACACAAGATACATCGGGACCAGACCAAGGAACATCTGCCAAGGAAAGTTGCAAGCACAAAATGCAGCAGGCCCAAGAAAGAGCCTCAAGTGCTACCGGCAGTGTTACTAAAGGGGCAAAGCGACCCAAGCCTGTCACAGCCCAGAGGATTCCATCACAATCCCAAGATAGCATACATGGAGTTGCATGGTTTGGTATTTGTCCTACTGAATTTTGGTCCTGCACTGGTCCAGTCTTCACTATTGGAGGGTGCAGTAAATACGTGGAGATCAGAGGACAAATTATGGGAGTCAGTTCTCTTCTACCATGTAGGTCCCAGGGAGCAAACTCGAGTAGTCAGGTCTGACAAGCCGGCCATCTCAACAGCCTGGGATTTAGAGTTTTGAACAATGTTAGAAACGTCAAGATTGTAGAGGCTCATGCCAATGAAGTATAAAAGCTTCTTGCCTTAGGAGATGAACCTCTAAGGATAGAATGTTAAGATTTAAAATGATGTGTTTGGTGTGGGGTTGACAAGGGATAGACCTGTGATTGTTAATCCTCATTGTCAATATGACCAAATTCATAGTCATCTGGGAAATGCTCCTCTGGGCACATCTATGAGGTGGAAACTTTCTGAAGATTGGCAAGTCCAAAAATGCAGTCTTCCCAGTAAGACAGCACAACTCCTCAGGCAGTGAGTATTAGCCTGACCTTGGGAGAAGACATTCATGTTCTAAGACATACCCCCTCATACCAGGCTCTCCAGCCCCTACAGCAGGGTCATCATGGTTCATTCAATACACATGCCTTCCACAGGGACAATTTGCAGTGTTACAGGAAAGCACTGCAAGCAGGCATCTCCAAGTACCTGCAGGCACTCACCCCCACTTCCACCATCACTCCTCACTCTCCTGCCCACTCCCACGCCTTCCCACATCAGCTTTCTTGTCCTGCATGGGAGAAATCCTTTGCCAGGTCAACATAATCGGCTCCTGTCATCCCATCCTGTTCACTGGTAACTGCCAGCCCTGTGCCACAGCCTGCAGTTCACAGGGAACCCTCACCTGCCCATCTGCCTGGGCATCTGCTGGGGCAGAAAGCCCCTTAGCTATTTGTTGTCTTCTCTCTACCCTTCCTGGTCCTCTTCCATGACCCAGAGCTTGACTTTAGCCCCTCTGCTCTCACAGGTGTCCAGCTATACTTTACAGCTAGATTTCATCCCCAGTATCAAGTGCTTAGAAAACTCAGTGGTGCCTACTTCCTCTCCTTCAGCACAGACTACAATGTCCCTCTCTGAAACACAAGTATCGTATCCTATATAAAGACATGGTTGGCTACAGGAACGGCCCAACCCTTGACTGTCTGCAGTCTCTGATTCCCCTCTGACTGGGGAAGACGCTTGTGGCGTGTGAATATGTGTGGTGATGAGAGTCAGCTCCAGCACCCTGTTACTCAGTCACTGCACCAGCCCAGCCACACCACAATGGATAACCCCAAACCAGCTGGCCTCAGACTCTCATTGTGATGGGAGATCCTGACCACCTGTCCTCACAGTGCACCACCCCTTTCCCCAGGGACACAGCACATGGAAAGGGAGTGAATGATGCAAAACTAAAATGACAAAACTCTGAGCATGCTGGCTCACTGAAAATGCAATAATATCGTGCCAGTACCATGACCTAACAAAGGCATGGGGGCCAGTATCCCATTTACAAACCATTTACCAAATCTAGTTACTTTGTGGGCATGTGCTGAGCCCACACATACATGTTAGGGCATACATATGGAGAAGAGTGGGGACATGGGTGTAGATAAACAACTGGACCTAACAAGATCAAGCCAGTATCATATATGGTTGTGACTTCAGGTGACCTATACAAGATCTCCTAGGGTGTGACACAACTCCAAAGAGCAGGCCCAAGCCAAGTGCTTGATGACAGGGAGAGTGGCACCGTCTGACCCATGTGGATCATTAAGCATAGCTGAGTCCTCAAGTCAGTGGACAGGACACAGCACCCACCGGTACCTGGCCCCACACCATAGACGCAGCCACACTACACCTGAGCACAACTCTAGATGATGTAGCGCGTCTGCCTGCATTTCCCAGGCTGCACAGAAAATACAGGAATCTAACATTCACAGGGCAGTGAATGCTGAGGAACACTGAAAAGGAGATCATTAGTGCTGGAAGGAGTTAGGATGATATTGCAAAAATATATGTAACCAACAACAGAGACTATATCTTGCAGCCTAAAAGCCTAACTCTCCATATCTGTTTCAAAAAAAAAAAATTATTCAAAATATCCAGTAGCTTCAAAATAAATATAAAGCTAAACCAACCAGCATTTCCACCGTGTTTCATTAATCACCAGATGTCATCTTTCTGAGAAAAATGTGCCCAAACAAGTTGTTGATATTCAATCCATCAAAGTTGAATTACGGTCCTGCGTACTACATAAAACAAGTACAGCCTAAGTTCCATGTTGACAGCTGTCCTGAGTGGAAACCCACTAACACACAACACCCCCCTCACACATTCATTTTAATTGAGAGGTGTATTCAATTTTTTTTTTAATTTAAACTGTCTAGATAGGTTAAGGGAAAAATCAAGACCACATCATCCAACCACAAATAACGTGTCAGTCTTCAGATGACAAAGAACACTTGTGCAGGGGGGAGGCACCCACCTACTGACTCTCCATCCCTCACCTCCATCCCAGCTCCTGCGTGTAAAATGTGAGGATAAACCACGGCCATGCACGCACGGCCATAGAGAAAACTGCAAGGAGCAGTGAGCTAACATGTCTGCAGCACGAAGCAATCATACTTACATCTTTTGCCATGTTACCAGATCCAGGAAATCAAGGCTGTAACTGCGTACCCGCCACAGAAAAAACCGGACTTATCTGGCAAAAAGGAAGGAGACAATTAATGAGCGAGAATGAAAAAAGAAGTTTAACAGACATCGCATTTCAAAGGAAACATCTCCCCACCAGCACGAGGCAGGCCTCCAGGCAGCAGGGGCCTTTCTTGCACAATCCCGACAGGAGAGCTAGCCAAGCAGGTCCCACACGGGGATTTTAAGTCACCTCTCCAAATGGAAGTGCTCCCTGCGGCCACCAGCAGCTCCCACTCGCAGAGGGTCCAGACCCCAACCCCTTGGCAGAGTAAGGCGCAGCCGTCAGGCTCACCCCACCTGGGCGCGCGGGCCCCGTCTGACCACAGGCCCCACCGAGGCACAAGGCCCCCAGCTTAGGCAC